GGGCTCGGGTGAGCCCGCTCAAACGCCCCGGGAGCCACCGCCGCCTCCTCAGCGCCAGTCCTCAGCGCTGAAAAGACTCTCCTTTCGCCTCCCGACCGCCCCGCCAGTAGGGACCGCCCCTCGTCTTGACACCGTCCAATCCACGGCGAGCCCCCTCATCGGCCACGCCCCCCAAACCAGAAAATCTGTCCTCCAGAGCCAATGGGTGCACAGGAGATAGACAGCGGCCTGTCGGACCGGCGGTAGATGGTCAGTGGAGCCAATCGGAGGGCGGACTGGGCACAAGGCCCCGCCTCCGGAACAAAAGAAAGCGCTCGGCCAGACGACCCGCCAATGAGAAACCTCAATAGTTGTGTGGAGGTGGGACTAATCGCGGGCCGAGAGAAGTGCGCCTGCGCACTAGAAGGGGCGGCTAGGAGACCCACTCAATGAAGCGCCGCCCCTAGTTGCCGGGCGGCGGGACTTTGTGAATCCTGTTGCTAGGGGGCGTGGCCGCAACTGTCACTTGTTTCAAGGATCCGCACCCCTTAAGCTGACCAAGTTGGCTAGGATGGCAGCGGTTGCCAGGCAACCTGGAGCCATTTTGGCTCCCCATTCTTTTGGCTTAAGTACCTTTGGGTACTTTGGGTTATTTACCTCCCCTCCGTTTTGTAAACTTCCTCCGGCCGGGGCCTGTCGTAGCTCAGGCTCCTTTCCACCGAACGGTACTTGCCACCTGTCCTGGAGAATGGCGCAAAAGACCAAACCCACTGCCAGATTCCGACTCGTAGCGACGCTACCTATAAGGAGTTTTCAAAGCTGTACATCTTTACAGGAGCACACCACTGCATCCTTCACCCGTGCAGCAGCTGTTGCTTTTAAACCTCCGACCTGGGGATTAGCAGCTTGACCCTTTGACCGCAGCACCACACGTCACTCAAAACTCACTGCCATGAAGTTGATTCCCAACTCATAGTGACCCTGGAGGACAGGGTAGACCCGCCCCTCTGGGCTTCCGAGGTTGTAGAAAGACTCATCTGTCTTCCTCCAGCTCCTAGTGGTTTCCAACTACCGACCTTCGGCTTCTCAGCCCCACGTGGCACTCACTACCCAGTCAACAGCAAATTCGGCCTCCGGGGAACCACGTGCCTCCCTAGCCCCGCCCTCTTATGAAGCTCCTCCCCCTCAGGTGTCTCCACTCAACTCTGCCTCCTCCACTACCTATCCTCTTCCCGACACATCTCTCTGCTGACCCTAAACATCACTCCCCTTTCTGCACATCCTCCTGACCCCTTTGATGGCGTATCCCTCCCAGAGCCCTTTCTCTCTGACTCCTCCATCCTCCCATCCTTTCCATCCTCCCATCCTTGTCCCCTTCGCAAATCCTCCCTCCTCTTAAAAAGCCACCCAGCACCTTCCCAACACAATTGCTGAAGACAAAGCAGGTGCATAAGCAAATGTGGTGAAGAAAACTGACGGTGCCCAGCTATCAAAACATAGCGTCTGGGGTCTTAAAGGCTTGAAGGTAAACAAGCGGCCATCTAGCTCAGAAGCAACAAAGCAAAAAAAAAAAAAGAAGAAGAAGAAGCAACAAAGCCCACATGGAGGAAGGACACCAGCCTGTGCAATCACAAGGTGTCCATGGGATCAGGTATCAGGCATCATCAGAACAAAAAGTCCTATCATTGTGAATGAGGGGAAGTGCAGAGTGGAGACCCAAGCCCATCAGTAGTCAATTAGACATCCCCTTACGGAAGGGTCACAAGGAAGAGATGAGTCAGGGTGCAGTGTAGCAATGATGAAACATACAACTTTCCTCTAATGCCTAAATGCTTTCTCCCCACCCCAACTATCATGATCCCAATTCTACCCTACAAATCTGGCTAGACCAGAGGATGTACACCGGTACAGATAGGAACCGGAAACACAGGGGATCCAGGACGGATGATCCCTTCAGGACCAGTGGTGAGAGTGGCGATACCAGGAGGGTGGAGCGAAGGTGGGGTAGAGAGGGGGAACTGATTACAAGGATCTACATGTAACCTCCTCCCTGGGGGACGGACAACAGAAAAGTGGGTGAGGCAAGACGTCAGATAGTGCAAGATATGACAAAATAATTATAAATTATCAAGGGTTCATGGGGGGGGGAGTGGGGAGGGAGGGGCAAAAGTGAGGAGCTGATGCCAGGGGGCTTAAGTGGAGACAAATGCTTTTGAGAATGATGAGGGCAATGAATGTACAAATGGGCTTTACACAATTGATGTATTTATGGATGGTTATAAGAGTTGTATGAGCCCCTAATAAAATGATTTTTTTTTTAAAAGCCACCCCGATGTCCTAGCCTCTCCTTCCCTGCTGAGGAAGCAAGTGCAGAGGCCCACGAGGAGGACCCTGGGCTCAGGTCTCTCATTGTGGCTGCGCACAGAAGGGGGGGTGCGGGGAGGGGGGCTGGAGGGAGCGATTCAGGCTTTCACGCTCCATCGTTGTTCCTGAACTGGGCAGGTGAGAGGATAGACCAGAGGCCAGGCCCTGCTTAATGAGGGATTAGACACAGAGCTTTCTAATCCTGGTGACCTTTAGGAGATGCTCAAGGCCTGCCCCTCCCCAGGAGAGAGCCAGGTGGTACCAGCCCTGACCACCCCCCTGCCCTCCCTCCAAGCAGTACCCTCTCTATCCCTCCACCGCCATCTCCTCACCCTTCCCCACAATCCTGGGGGGGGGGTGTCATACTCCCATGGTCCCTGGGCCCCTACAATAGACACCCTGGGATGGGAGGGAAGCTAGCTAATTAATCCCATCCGGTCATTAGTGGGGATTCTGAAGGATAGAGGGGAGTTGGGGACACCAGTGGGGGAGGGGTGTGCCCGGGGTTGATGGGGCATCCAGCAAGCTGGTGGCAATGACAGTGTGCCGGAACATGTCCTCTCCCCTGGCACTGGCTCCCGCTGCGGCTGGCTCCCAGCCCGTGGGGTACTTAGGTAGATGAGAACATGGGCCAGGGGCCAGGTGCGAGGGCCCATGCCCCAGAAACACAGCCAAAGACACACCTACCAGGGCTACCAGTTCTTTAATCTGGAGGTGGGGGGTGTGCGGGGGAAACAGCTGTCACCCCCAGAACACAGTCCCCCGCAGCAGTACAGTCCACAGCATTCTGAACTTGCCCCTCCTACGCCGGCCCCCTGAGCTGAACCACGGGGGAGGTGACCTGGTCTGGGGCCACAGCCTGCAGTGTCCATTGCCTGTCCCATGACTCAGAGAGGCTTAGCGCAGAACCAGTTTTTGGAGCACCCCCCTTCCCAGCTACCAGCCGGGTGTACCAGTGCCCGGCAGAACCAGGAAACCAAGACCCTCGCCTCCACCACCACCCCCCAACACACACCCCGAATTCTGTAAGGAACCATCTTGCTGTGAAAACCCTCAGAGGTCTTCAGGGTTCAACGCCCCACTCTCCAGATAGGGAAACTGAAGTTAAGAGAGGGAGTGATTTTCCCAAGGTCACACAGTAAGTTCCCACAGACAGAAAGCTCCCTGCCTTTCTGCCCAGGACTCATTCCCGTGAGCTCCAGTTTAATGTCTAACCCTATTGGAGGGTCCTAAGGTTGGGGAGGGGGGGAGGCTAAAAGAGAGATCTGCATTTTATATAGATATGATACATATATGTATAACATCTTTAAGAAATAGATACATGTAACTAATTGTAGGATTCCAGAGCATTCGTGACTCGGCAGTCACAGACCTCCCCTTCCCCCCTTGTCCACTAAGAACCCCCCGTTGACCTAGAGGGTTGGGTCGGGGCCCTCCCCTTCCTGGGTCGCTTGGAAATGTCGCTTCTCAATCCGGAGTCCTATTAAAAAAAATCATCAGGCGTTGTATCTGGAGGCGATTTGAACTTCTCGGCTTTGGTGAGTGAGCAGCTCTGGATCCCTGGAGCCTCTGACTACTTTTGGCATTACAGAACCCCAAGGAAGTTGGTCCTAGCCAGAATCCTGAGATCCTCAACCCACGTGGGCAGAGTGGAACCAGCAAACCTCAAAGACATCTCGAACCACCACTCCTTTGCTTGACTCTGCGATGGATGGAGGACCACCGAATCCTCGTTCTTTGGGACATTCTAGAATGGCACTTTTTTTAGGGGGGGGTGCGTGGTTTCCCGCAACTTCCCAGGGATCATTCAGAAGCACTGGCTACCCTCTCGAGTGGGGTGGATCTTCAGTCGTCCGTGAATGGTCTGGCTTTCAAGGATATCAAGAACTTGCGACTTTCAGTCCTGCGAGACACACGCCCACTTCCCCATTACTTTGCGCATTCTAGAGACAGAACACTTTCATGGCAAGGGTGGTTCAGCTCCTGAGGTCAAATCTGGTCTAGAAATGCCAGTGCTTGCCTCTGTGGTCAATCCGGACTCCCAGACTCTCAACGCTCCGGCTTTCTGGAACCACAGGATCTTTCCTTGACCTGCAGCCCTCAGACCTTACCTTTGGTCAATCGAGATGGGTATGAGTACTGGGGCAATTCAACAACCACCTCTCTTCAAGGGATCGACCACCAATGGGCTGGCTCCCAGTTGGGCGAGTCTCTCGACTCTTAGGCCATTCCAGACGTACAAACCCCTGATCTCCGTTGTTTGAGAACTGATGACTTCCTCCTCGTCAAGACAGTGAGACTGTGGATTCCAACCACCCAGGAAGAGCCTTGCAGAGGAATCTAGAACCACGAATCCTTTGCCTCTTGGGTCTTCCAGAATTCTGGAGCCCTTTGCTCTGGTGAGACTTGGGATGGTGATGCGTTGTACAGGGTGGTCTCCAGGGGGGCCGTGGAATGCAGAGGAATTGAGGTCCAGTATGTCCCGGGGTGAATCCACCCATTAGGGCAGGACCTGCCCAGGAAATAATTTACCTAGGAGGCCTCTTGGCCTCGGGAAAACACCTGCCCCCGTTTGCAGGAGAATGCTCCAGCTCTCCAGCTTGCGACGTCTTTGAAGAGGGTGGGGTGGTGGGGCACAGAGGGTGCCTCCGGCTCACATCTGGGACACAGGGTCAACGCCACGGGTGAGACAACTCAGGGGCAGGCGGCCCCATCTTCCGCCTCTCCGCTGTCCTCCTCCTTGCCTTCCCCTTCCTCCTCTTCCTCCTGACAGTAGCTCAGGGCCAGTTCGTTCTCGTAACAAAATGCAGCCAGAGAGCCAGGGAAGCTCAGCTTAGGGCTGTGTGGCGATGCCCGCTCGGCCCGTTCATCCAACTCCTTGGCACTGCAGACCGGTGTCCCCGGCACCTCGTAAGTGCGATGGAAGTGACGATAGTCCACCTCGTACTGGGAGCCACGCTGGAAGAGGACCGGCTCGAAACGATGGCCCCAGAGCAGCTCGCCGGGCAGGTAGGACGAACGGCACTGGGTGGTCATGGCCGTGGCCTCCACCATGCCCTCCAGGATGACCACCAGCTCGAAGTCGGCCCGGGCCAGCTCCGCGCGGCCCAACTCATACAGGGGACTGGCAGAGTCGATTTCGTGCACGATGGTGATGGGCGACACCAGGAAGATGCGGTCGGTGCCACCGTCGAAGCCCACGTCCACATCCTGGTGGTCCAGCGGGATGTATTCGCCCTCTGGGGTCACGCGGGGCTGCAGCAAAATAAATAAATAAACCAAAGCAGGGGCCAAAGAGAGCCACGTAGGGAGCACAGAAAGAGACAGGGACAAGGATGGAAGGGATGGAAGAGAAGGGAGAGGTGTGAGCAGAGACCACCAAGAAAGTGGGGTGTGGAAACCAAGACCGGGGGTGGGGAGTGGGGCAGAGAGGCAGAGGAGACAGAGATCCAGAGTGTGGGAAACTAATACCTAGGGAAATAGGACGAGGACTAGATTCCCTAACTTATCACAGAGGGAATCTGGAAAGCTGGTCTTCCACGGTAGGGAACCCTCCACCTTGGTAAGTTAGAGATAGAGTCCAAGTCCATGATCCTGCTTTAAATACCATTCCCACAGATTCTCCACTAACAGCTATGCTGCCTTCCAGTGAGCACATGGTGGATTCGATCTTCCTACAGAAGCAGACAGGATCCTGTTGTTCTCTCTTCTTGCCATGACACCCAACCCCCCTTGTACCTGCCCCCACCCAATGCAGGTATTAGGTTTCCTCACCTGTGAGCTCAGGGACCTTAATGTAGATACCACCCACCTTGTGATGCCTATAACTACTGAATATGTGTGTGTTAAGGCGACCTATAAATGTCCCAAGAGAGTAAAGGCTCCCTCTCACCTCTCCAAGTTCCACGTGGTCCATCAAGAGGAGCTGAGATGAACAAGCTACCATACAATGTGTCTGCCTCCTGCATTTTACTGTCTCCTATCTCTCCTATCCTCTATGACTTTACTGTAATCTTCATCTATCATCGCTGTACTATGGCGCCTTCTGGCCCTTCGGTTGTTGGAGGCTGGTTTCCTCTGACACCGGAGGGGTGGGGTTGAGTCCCAGAGAGAGAAAGTGACAGAGACCCAAAGAGAGGAGAGGAGAGTCTGGAGAGAGATGGGGACGGAGACCCAGAGAGAGAGGAAGATGGAGAGGCAGGGAGAAGAGGACAAAGACCCGAGGGGGTGGCAGGGAGGGTGGCAACCCAGAGATAAAGTAGGGAAAAGTCTCAGAGGGGACTTGGGGGTGGAAACCCAAAGAGCCAAGAGCCAGCAAAGGACGGAGCGAGTGGACACAAGGACAAAAAGGAATCAGGTTGACAGCGATGCAATCAGAGACCCGGACAATGAGGATGGCGTCAAACAGGCGGTTGGAGAAGGGGTAGAAGTAGATTAAAAAAGTTGTTAATGTACGATCCAAAAAGAAATGAACCAGGTGACCAAAAAAAAGGGCGGGGGGAGTCAAGACAATCTCCGTCCAAGCACTCCTTCCTCCAATACCAGCTTGGGTGATTCCCAAAACACAGACAACAAACTAACTACGGTATCTGCCGTTGATTTGATTTGTGGTTTTGACCCCACTAGTTTCTTCCATCCCTTGTCTCCCAACAAACACCCCACTAGGAAACTGATGTCTCTTTCGGACTCAGGCAGCTAATCAGGAGACAGAGTGGTGGGGTACTCCTCCTCTTGCCAGGGTCTCTAGGAACCCCCGGGGGCTGCTGGGAGTTGTAGTTCCTACCACCGCTCTAGCCCCGCCCCCCTTCACCACTTCAGTCCAGCCTTGGTGAATGGTTCTTAAGTGTCCTTGGTACAGGGAGCTGCTGTCATTTATTGGGCACCGGGGGCTATTTTGGGCAATCTGACCACCATTCTAAGGGCCCTTCTGAGGGTACTGAAGGGAGTCGCTATCTTGGGACTGATGGGAGAGGTCGTTAGTTCTCTTTGCTAACTCAATCACTCCTGAACTCAACACGGTACTCATCGGGCACAAAGCTGGTGGGAGAGAAGTGGGGCCATTGGCATGGGGCAGGCAGTCTCCCGTGAATAGGGCACGGCTTGCAAGGCCCCAGAAGCAGTGAAGAAAAGTGCACAGCTGTCCAGGTGTGAGCTGCTCCCCATCCTTCAAACGATCTCCCACAACCCCACAGGGGTCCTCACACCAGAGGCCACAGTGGGCACTGGGAATAGTGTGCACGTGTCCTCAAAGGGTCACAGAGACCCACCACCCACCAAATGACAGCTCCCCTCAGTCTACCCTACCTGGGCACTTACTGCTCAAGACTTCTGGAAACTGTAGCTCACACCTTTAGAGAGGCATGATCTGGACTACATTTCCCACAATCCCCTAGGAGCTCATCCTTAACCCACAAGACCCTCTTTATGTCCTCAAATCTGTTTCTGTCCAGGGCTCCAGAAAGAGCTGGTGGCAGACGCCCTCCCTCAGGTTTACATCTCCTACAACTCTTCAGGGGGACCACGCTCAGTCCACAAGGGTGCCCTGCTCCCCCGAGGGATGCTGGGAATTGCAGTCCCACGCGAGCCTTACACGGAAATGTACGTCTCCCACAATCCCGCGGGCCTCACCCGCCCAACTTCCGGGGCGGGGCCGGAAGCTCGCTCACCTGGAGCAGCTGGGCCCGCACGTGGGCTTCCACGAGGTGGCTGCGGCGCAGGTTGCCCACGCGCCACATGAGGCAGAGGCGATGGTCGCGCAGCGCCACGACGGCGTTCTCGCTGAAGACGAGCGTCTCGTTGCGCTTCTTGGGCTTGGCCATCTTGGCCATGACGGCGCCCACGACGAAGGCGTCGAGCACGCAGCCGGCGATGCACTGCAGCACCACGGCGGCCACGGCGGCCGGGCACTCCTCGGTGACGCTGCGCACGCCGTAGCCGATGGACGTCTGCGTCTCCAGCGCGAAGAGGAAGGCGGCCAGGAAGCTGGCCACCTGCGAGAAGCAGGGCGCGGGCGGCGGCGGCGCGGCCAGGTCGCCGTGCAGGGAGGCGATGAGCCAGAAGGCCAGGCCGAAGAGCAGCCAGGAGGCGAGGAAGGAGCAGGAGAAGAACAGGCACATCCAGCGCCAGCGCACGTCCACGCACGTGGTGAACAGGTCGCTCAGGTAGCGCGCGCCCTGGCCGCCCAGGTTCACGAAGCGCACGTTGCAGTGTCCGTCCTTCTTGACAAAGCGACCCCGGCGCCGACCCACCAGTGGGGACGCTGCGGGCGCCCACCCGTTGCGGCACAGCGCCGGCTGCTCGGCCGCCTCCTCATCGCCGGCCCGGCTGTCCCCAGACTCCAGGGCGCCGCTCAGGCGGCGCAGGGCCCTGGCCAGGCCCATTGGGTGGGGGGGAGCCCCTCCACTTGGCTTAGTGGGGGGCGGCCGCCCGGCAGGGGAACCTACAGGGCAAGAATCGGGCAGAGACGTTAGGGGTGCAGGAGCACTGGGTGTGCGCACATTGGCCAGATGGGGTCCCGGGGCTACAGCAGCTTCAGAAGCAGGAGGAACAGTAAACGCAGACCCTGCGCCTTGGCAGCCCTGCAGGACAGGGTAGAACTGCCCCCCAGGGGTTGTCAGGCTTCAGCTCTTTAGGGAAACCAATGACCTCGTCTCAGACCTGCATATGGCTTTGAACTGCTGACCCTTCCATCCATAATTGAGCACTTTACTCCCTCTACCACCAGGGGGCCTTTTTGTCTCACCTGGGTTGGCCTCAATAAGAATGCACTCCCAAAACCAGGGGTGCTCAATACGTCGATCTCGATGTACTAGTCGATTGCAAATGTAGTGTGGGTAGATCGCATGGCATTAAAAAAAAACAGATGTAAGCCTATCATCAATCCTGTCACTTGATTGATATACAGCGCAGCCAATCAGATGCAATCTTAGGTGTCAAATGCATGCGCAAATAACTGCGCTAAGTGCAGCAAAACTAACAAGCTAAGTTATCACCAATTTTTAGTTTCTCTTAAACGTAAGAAAGGGTATTAAAATGAGTGGGGGAGCTGGACCAAGTAAGAAGACAAAAAACATATCACTTTCATACGGAATGGGAGATTTTGACACTACAAGCCGACATTCAGCTGAAGTCCAGAGTGCAGGAACAGTTCTGGAACTTACTCGCAGAGGGAAAGTACCCAAACATGAGAACATGTGCTACCTCCTTGACTGCATTATTCAGCTGTACTTATTTATGTGCGTCAGCCTTTTCCCACATAAGGATCATAATTCTAAGTACCCTTCCACCATGACTGATGATCATTTGGAATGTGCTTGAGGCTGGCTGTCAGCAGCTACTGTCCGGACTATGCATCCCTGGCTCATTCCATTCAGGGCAAGTCATCAGAGTAAACTCAGGTCATGACAAAAAATATACCTAGTTAATTGTGTTGTGTTGTGCAATATGGACTAATGTGGATATACAAGGTCCATAAATATACATTGTACGTATAAAGAATTCTCAATGCATTTATGAACAAATGTAATAAATAACTGAATAAAGTATATGTTTTGCATTTTTGTAGTTGGTGGTCATTTTGACTTGATCATGTTATCAGTAGCTCGCATGATGAAAAAGTGTGAGCACCCCTGCCCCAAACCAAACCGGCTCCCTGATCAAGTCGATGTTGATTCACAGCAGTCCTCTCTATAGGGTGTCCACAACTGTAAATCCTTCCTGGGGCAGCCAGCCTCATCTTCCTCCCAAGGAGGGGCTGGTGGATTTGAACCACAGAGCTTGCAGTTAGCAGCCCAGTGCCTAACCCACCAGGACTCTCGAAATAACACCATTGCAAGCTCCGTAACAATCGTGGCAGCAGAGCGTTGGGCTGTGCCTGGCATGGTTCAGGTGTCCCTGGATCTCCCCGAGAACACACTCGGCTGCTAACTGAAAAGGGGGAGGCCGGCATCTCCTGAGAGGCACCTTGGAAGAAAGACCTGGTGTTCTGTTTCTGATTCAAACCAGTGGAGCCCAGTCCAGTGCTGCCTCACGTGGGGTCACCAGGAGTCACAAGTGGACCCTTTGACAACTGATTGAGGCACGATTCCAGGTACTTTGCACAGAATTTAACCTCATTCGGGTCATCCATTCTGCTGCTCAGCCTCAGAGGAAGCAGAGGCACAGAAAGTGTAGGCACTGCTCAAGGCAGCTGGGATTTGAGTGACCAAAGGCTAGCCGGAGAGTTTGTCCTCACCAATGACCGCCACCCTGCTGCTCAGGTGGTGACAGGAAGCCGGCTCTGGGGGTGGCACATGTATAAAAGTGGGCGAGCAGAATATAAAGCAATGTGCTTGACGGTGGAGTCAGATGAAATGGAAGTCGTCCACCAGAAGTAGAACAGTCAAGGAATGGGTGCAAGCTCACCCCTTAAGGGGGTTCGATGAATTGTTTCAACTGATGAATACCAGGTTGCTGACCTGAAACGGAACCCCCCCACCTCATCGACACTGAAACATCGAAAATGGGGATGCGTGGAATGGACAAGTCCCCCAAAGGGGAAGAGGGCGCCGATGGACAAGTGAACCCCGACGACAATGTTCCAAACTGGGGCTTCAAAGACACGGCCAGAACGTGAGAAGATAACCCAGCGGGTGGGGGAACGCCGATGCGAATCGTGTCCCAGGTAAGAGGCTTGGTGTGTAGCGCATATGACCACGCATGACGCACAGGCCACCTGTGATGAACGAATGGGTTGAAGACAACGTGCAGACAGAGCACTCGTCGAAGAAAAGAGACTCATAGCCACGAGTCGCTATCATCAGGCTCAGGGAAATGAGGTCAAAACCCCAAGGAGGTACCACCTCGTGCCCCCTGCCTGCGAGTCCATTCCAATTCTTGGTTGTTTCTTTGTTTTCAGTTCCAATTCTTGACTGTGACTCTCTCGGGTGCAGTAGAATTGCTCTGCAGGAAATGTTTGGAGAATGATGATGGCAGCAAAGGTACAAATGTGCTTGACACAACGGACGGACGGACGGATTGTGAGAAGAGTTAGACAAGCCCCCAATAAAATGATTTTTTTTTTAAATTGCTCTGCAGGGTCTCTGAGGCTGTCCACTTGAACATTACCAGACAGCCTCGCGATTCTTCTGGGGAGCGGGGAGCTTGAACCACTGGCCTGGAGGTCAGCAGCCCAACGCTCAACTCACGGTGTCACCAGGGCTCGTTCACCGGCACTAGGGTAATCATAATTAACACAGGATTCGTGTTGGCGAGGGTGTGACCACGTTGGCATCCTCCTCCCCTGCTGATGGGGATCTTAATGTGGTGCAGCTGCTGTGGGCAGCAGTCTGGTAGGAATTTAATCCTGGAGTTAGCACGTTGGTGGTGGTGTTAGGTGCTGTTGAGTCACGTGTCAACTCATGACCACCCCCGTGGGACACAGTAGAATTGCCCCAGAGGGTGGCCTACCTAGACTATAAATCTTTACAGGAGCAGGTCACCTGGTCTTTTCCACCCAGAGCCTCCCAAGCTTGTGATTAGCAGCTAAACACTTAATTGTTGTATCATCCGGGCTCCTTAGATTTGCCAGAGGACCTAGCAAATCCACTCTTCGGTATGTACCCCAAAGAGCGGAAAGAATACACCCACACAATGACTCCTATATGGCAGCATGATTTCACAATAGCAGAGAGGTGGAAACAACCCAAATGTCCGTCTTCTGAGCAGGTAAAAGGTGTCTACCCACGTAGACGCCTATGAATAGAGGCAGAATATGGTCTGATATCCTGCTGGAAGAAGTGCCCCTCCGGTTGGAAGGCACTCAAGAATACAACCAGGGCAGAGCTGCCTCCTCACAGTAAGAGTCCACCTTAATGATGTGGATGGAGTAAGGCCTTTGGCATTTGTATCTGCCGTGAGACACGGCTCAAGGTGAGGAGAAACAGCTGCAAACATACATTAGTAATCGCCCCGTGGGCTGGACGAAGGATGAGTCTAGGAAACTTGGAACTCATCCAAACAAAAAGGAAGAAAGTGCGTCAAGATGACCCATCGGTTCAACTCTTATGCAAAGGTACGCACGAGCCCCTGATGCCAAAGGGGAAGACATGGATGATTTCTCACCAACTTCAGCCTGTAATTGATCAAGCACGCAATCGAGATGCATTGGTAATTGCCAGCTGTGGCAGTTAGATTTTAAGTCAACCTGCACCTGTGTGACAGTGTCCGGTGGCGTGCGATCTGTCCAGTGGGTCACAGCCTGATGATGCTTTCTTGGAGACGTAACCTTTTCTAGGAGAGAGACAGTGAGAACGTCTCTCTCCTCTTTTGCCCTTCGGTTCATCCTGGCTGGAACTCTTGTCTACCACCACTGGCCATTGATCCTGGGAGCCATCCCCCAAGCTGTTGGTGCCCTGCTGTGCTCACACCAACCTTGGGTCCACGGGACTCTAATCCCACCCACCTATGACCTCCTGCGTCCTGCTTCACCTTTCTGCTTCAACGGCCTTCGGCTACGTGAGTCTGAAGAGGGCCTTGACTGGCATCCGGCACTCGGAGGAAGCACGTGATGAAGGGCCAGTGTTGCTGAAGGAAGATAAGCTGCACTGAAGGCTTCGGTGAAAAGTAGGTTCCGAGAATGGATAGCATACCAACGGAGGAGATGTTTCAACAAGCGGAAGTCATCGCTATGAAAGAGGACAGCTGCTTGGCCCACGAACTGGAAGAGAGCCCAGTATCCGCCCGTTTGAAAGAAAGGTGATCGAAACGACTCAGAAGTCATTACCATCCCACACAAGTACAACGTTTGCCGACAACCGGTCCAAAACAGTTGCAGTACTACACTGACATCGGACTACCCTGGGGTAGTCCCCTAATCTGATGTCAATTTAAGGATGAAGAGTGTAGGGGTGGAGTCTAGGCTGTCAATCTGGAGATAGCCAACGAGACTTCTGTGTGGGCATGGCCTTCTCCTGAGAATTCTGGGAAATTTGGTACCTCCTCCTTGGAGGCAGAAGACACCTCTCTCTCTCTCTGCCACTCCCTGGAAGACATTGCAGAAGACAAGTCACATGGATGCAACTAGACCTCAGAAGCTGAAGAAGCCACAGAGACCCCTGCCAGCGCTGAGATGTTTCCAGTGATACTGGATCCAAAGACTTTCTACCCACTGGCTTGTGATCTTCTGCATTCGGTGTCATTGTATGTGTTTCGTGAGTCTGAAGAGGACTTCATAGATTGGTATCATAAATATGGGCTAATATCGGACTTAGGGACTTGATCTGGACTGGGCTGGGATGTTTTCTCAGTATTCAATTGCTCTTGTATATAAATCTCTTTCTTATCCACATGTGTGTCCATGGATTTGTTTCTCTAGTCTACCGGGACTAACACAACCCAAATCCAAGCTAGAGTCAGAAAAGGACTCCGAGTGAGGGATGATCATCGTGGATGTCAGACGGATCTCAGCTGAAAGCAGCAAACACCACAGAGATACTTACTTGGGTTTTATTAGCTATGCCAAGGCATCGGACTGGGTGGATCATAACAAACTCTGGGTAACATCGTCAAGAATGGGAGTCCGAGGACCTCCTGTGGGGCACACGAGGAACCTGTCCACAGACCAACAAGATGATGCTGTAGAATGGGAAGTCGGGTAAGTTGTGCTTCGGGCAGGCATCCTTCCCCGGTGCCGATTCCATCTCTACACCTGAGCAAATGATCCCAGAAACTGAATTCTATGAAGAAAGTGGGATTAGAGGAAGACTCCTTAACGACGCGCAGTGTGCAAATGACACTACTCTGCCGACTGAAAGCCGAGAAGGTTTACTGATGCCTAGCCTTCAGGATGGAGTACATCTCAACCCCTACAAAATCATCACAGCTGACCCCTACAAAATCATCACAGCTGACCCCTACAAAATCATCACAGCTGACCCAAGAACTCCAGGAGCAAGAAGACATCAAAGGCAACATCATGTTGGGCAAACCTGCTACGTGAGACCTCTTTAAGTGCTCTCTCTCTCTCTCAAGTTTCGAACAGCCAAATGTCGCCTTGAGGACTAAGGTGCGCCTGTCCCAAGCCACGGGATTCTCAAAGCCTCATGTGTATGCCAAAGCTGCTCAATGAGCAAGGAAGACGGAAGAATGGAGGCATTTGAATTCATGGTGTTGGCAGCTGGTTAAATCCACGACAGGCGGCCAGAACAAACAAATCCACCATGGAAGTGCAGCCAGAAGGCTCCTTGGAAGGGAGGCCAGCGACACTTTGTCTCCCTTCTTTTGGACATGTCAGGAGGAAGGACCAGCCCCTGGAGAAGGACACCAGGCTTGCTGGAGGGCCATCGCCACAAAAGCCGACCCTCAGCAAGATGGACTGACGTACAGCGAGACTTCAACCAGGGGCCCAAACCGAGCAACGATCCGGGAGGATGGCCCAGGACCAGCAGGGTTGTGCTCTGTTGCGAATGAAGTTGCACCTACCAGCCATCCGATGGATTCTTATTTTATTGATGCGTAATAAAGAATGAAGTGCTACCCCATGGATATAACCTTCGTGAACTTTATGTCAAGTGAAAGGAGAACACACACACACACACACACACCAAAAACCCTGCACATTTTAAGCCATTTACAGGAAGTGTTGAGAAGAGATCACCTTCTATAGGTTCAGAAAATAGATTTGCGGTTGCTTAGGGTGGGGTGGGGGAAGGAATCCTGGTGGTGGAGTGGGTTGCTGCTAACCGCAAGACCAGTGGTTCAAACTCCACAGCCGCTCTGTGGGAAGATGAGGCTGTCTGCTCCCGTCAAGATGTACAGCCTCGGGAAACCCACTGGGCAAGTCCTATCATGTGCTGTAGGGTCTCCATGAGACGAGGGAGTGAATGAGGGTGGCGGAGGGGCCCTGGTGGAGCCGTTGTTAAAGGTCAATGGTTTGAACCCACTCACTGGCTGCTCTGAGGGAGCAGGAGAGGCAATCTGTTTCCATAGATGACAACCTTGGAAACATGGTGGGGTCAAGCCTATCTGTCCTAGGGGACCACTAGGTGTCAGAGGGTAAGGGTCAGGAGATGGTGAGGAGAGAGAGAGGTATCCAAAGGATGTGGGGTTTCTTAGAGGGGTGATGACAATCTTCTGAAAACAATTGTGCTGGCTGCCCATCTTGGAAGGTCCCCCAAACCATGTCATCGCAAGCATTAACTAGCACACATAATTAAATGCATTCCCGTTTTAACAGGAGAAAGACAGGACTTTCTATTTCCATAGGAAAGAGTGACCACCTCCGAAACTCACTGGGCAGCTCTACCCAGTGCTACAGAGTTGCCATGAGTCGGCAATAACAGGGAGGGAGGGAGTTACATTTCAGTAAAACTGACACA